ATGTCTGTTAGCGTGAGCCATGAACAGGTCAGTCCAGCCTCCCCTTCCATAGAGACCAAGACTCTCTTCCCTTCCCCTCCCTCACCCCACCCCTACCCGCCCCTCCAGAAGGCCTTCCGCCCCCACGCCAACTCCCCTGCAGCTCGCACCCGACCCTCGACCGACGGATGGAGCCAATTCAATAAAAAAGGCAAGAAGAACAAAAGAGGACGGAGCTGTTGCATTGTTCAGCAATACCTGGCCGTGTCGGGTTGACCCACGTGTGTACAAAATCCCCCTCGTGTATGGAGAGGAAGAGATGAAATTGAATAAAGTTCGATGTTCTCAGTTTACCAAAAAAAAAAACAAAAAAAAAAAAGGTGCAAGAGACTCAGAAATATGAGAATCGATATTCACAATTGCAAAAAACAACAACAACAAAATAACAAAAGATAATAGTCAAAAAATAATGGAAAAAGTACAATAAAATGACAATAATGAATAAATAAAAGTAGATTCAAAATAAAACTGCAAGAAACTCCGAAAAAAGGATCCGATATCCACAATGCCAAAAATTATATAATAATAAATAATAGTAAGTGAATAAAAGAGAAGTCTTGTTTAAAACGTGTTTATATTATCATCATTTTTTTTTCTTTTTTTTATTGAGAGAAAGTGCAACTAGATAGAGAGGAATAAAAGGAATAAAAAATGGGGGAGAGGGAGAAATATACATACGCACAAAATGTATGTACCTTTTAAGGATGTATATACATAGAAACATATAAATCCTGTGTCCCTGCAGGAGAAAATTGAAAGAAATTCCGAAAAAAAACCTTGATCCGATATTCACAATTACAAAAATAGAATAAGACTAAATAATAGTAAATAAATAATGAAAAATTAAAAAAAGAAAAAAAAACAAGAAACCAGATGCGATATCCACAGTTCCAAAAATAAATCATAAACAAAAGCAAGTAAATCAAAGAAAATACACGAAAAAAGTCCAATAAAACAAAGGCATCAACTTGTCTTCGCTCGTAACCCAACACAGCCCCGGAAATCGCCCAACTTTATCAGAAAATACCTGGACCCTCGGATTACTGAACTTGGTCTCGGGGATACCCAAAACACAGGCGAAGTTTTCAGGGCTGTCGAGGCAGACAACTAGTGCGCTCGGGGAAAGTTTGTTTGCTTTTTTTTGTTTTTGTTGTTGTTAGTTTTTCGCGTGTTTGTTTTTGTTCTTTGTTTCTGTGTCTGTCGGTCTCGGTCTCTCTCTCTCTCTCTCTCTCTCTCTCTCTCTCTCTCTCTCTCTCTCTCTCTCTCTCTCTCTCTCTCTCTCTCTCTCTCTCTCTTCTGTCGGTTTCTCTCTCTCTCTTTCTCTCTCTCTTTCTCTCTCTCTCTCTCTCTCTCTCTCTCTCTCTCTCTCTCTCTCTCTCTCTCTCTCTCTCTCTCTCTCTCTCTTCTGTCGGTTTCTATTGCTCTCTCTTTCTGTCGGTCTCTCTCTCTCTCTCTCTCTCTCTCTCTCTCTCTCTTCTGTCGGTTTCTATTTCTCTCTCTTTCTGTCGTCTCTCTCTCTCTCTCTCTCTCTCTCTCTCTCTCTCTCTCTCTCTCTCTCTCTCTCTCTCTCTCTCTCTCTCTCTCTCTCTCTCTTCTGTCGGTTTCTATTTCTCTCTCTTTCTGTCGGTCTCTCTCTCTCTCTCTCTCTCTCTCTCTCTCTCTCTCTCTCTCTCTCTCTCTCTCTCTCTCTCTCTTCTGTCGGTTTCTATTGCTCTCTCTTTCTGTCGGTCTCTCTCTCTCTCTCTCTCTCTCTCTCTCTCTCTCTCTCTCTCTCTCTCTCTCTCTCTCTCTCTCTCTCTCTCTTCTGTCGGTTTCTATTGCTCTCTCTTTCTGTCGGTCCCTCTCTCTCTCTCTCTCTCTCTCTTCTGTCGGTTTCTATTGCTCTCTCTTTCTGTCGGTCTCTCTCTCTCTCTCTCTCTCTCTTCTGTCGGTTTCTATTTCTCTCTCTTTCTGTCGGTCTCTCTCTCTCTCTCTCTCTCTCTCTCTCTCTCTCTCTCTCTCTCTCTTCTGTCGGTTTCTATTTCTCTCTCTTTCTGTCGGTCTCTCTCTCTCTCTCTCTCTCTCTCTCTCTCTCTCTCTCTCTCTCTCTCTCTCTCTCTCTCTCTCTCTCTCTCTCTCTCTCTCTCTCTCTCTCTCTCTCTCTCTCTCTCTCTCTCTCTCTCTTCTCTCTCTCTCTCTCTCTCTCTCTCTCTCTTTCTCTCTCTCTCTTCCCTTTATTACATTTGTTCCCATGCATTCGGATCAGCAAAGAAACGAGGCAGAAGTACAAACGTATTTCTTTTAAACTATTCTCTTTTCAGTGGTTTATGTGTCAGGAAGTTGATGTTGATGTTGCACGAAGTCGTAACATACGTTGCGGTTTGATGTGAGATGTTGGTGGGCTGGATATGAATGGCATGACGTCACGGCACGGTCTTTTGATAGAAATAGTAGATGAACAGAGAGGTAAATAAATGAAAAC